GAAGCCATAAAGTGAATCTGTCTGAAAATCTAAATCACATTTTATTATCCAAGTCCATTTCTAATGTGTAAACGTACGAGAAAAACTTACAAGTAGTAACAATCCCTTACAGTGTTTCAGTGCGGGGACAATTAAACCACTTCAAAGCCGTTTTGTGGCATTATTTAATTTCAAGCCGAGCAAACAAGAGCCTGGGATCAAGGAGGATTTGGCGGAACAACATGGACCAGAGAGCCAGCAAGAACAAAGAAAAAAATGTCCATTTCTTTCCCGCATAGCTGAAAACAAAAGGTTTCTCAGCGTTCCTGCTATCGCAAAAAAACTCTTGTGGCATTTCCCCAGGAACCTTCCCACACTGTCAAAATAACCCGGCCACAAGACTGAAAATGGCCAGAAGTCATCGGTCAATGAGGTTGAGTGACGACTATACTACAGTTGTTGAAAAACAGACTCCCATACTTGCCTGAAATTTCTCTGCCTTATTCCATCACTCCTACTCTTTCTGCAGACTGATTGGAATAGTAAAATTGGCTGTGAGGAGTGCAGGTTGGTGGAGAGATAAACAACAGTAAAAGATTTTCCAGCATCAGCGGCAGAGGATCAGCCTCACAGGGGTCAGCGGTTCACAGGGGAGTTGTAGTAGTAGCAGTCAGAGCTGGCAGCCCTGCAGTCTGCAGCTAAAAAGGTCGCCTAATGCTGAGTAACCCTGAGGGCCTGTGTGGCCAACAGGACTGAGTGGATGGAGAGGGGGCAGAGGTGTGTGTGTGTGTGTGTGTGTGTGTGTGTGTGTGTGTGTGTGTGTGTGTGTGTGTGTGTGTGTGTCTCAACCTCTGACAGGACCAAACGTGTACACTAACCAATCCTGAAATGTGATCTGTCAGCCTGGCGGGGCAGAGAGCGGCGGGGAGAAGGCAGGTTCTCTGGGGGACTTGTGTGTTTACGTCTGTGTGTGCGCACAATCTGCATTTGCTCTGGCTGCTAACAGAACAGGACACATACAATTTAATGAAAGTGACTGAGAGTGCACAGAGAGGGACATGCTGGGGGCTGTGACAGATAATCCTGAGTCACAAAAAAACAAAAGCACAGTGAGGTGTGATTGTAAAACCGACTGTTTGTTCCTGTTTTTTCCTTTCTGATCTGGTGGGGACACACATAACACACCTCTGGAGAGAGACTGAGAGCAACTGTTCTTTCTATATTTGTCGGGGAGAGAGAGCAGAGTACACACCCCTTGTGCTTACACGAACATGAGTGTATGTATTGGAGAGTGCAGACAAGACTGGTGTTCAAGCTGTCCCTTGCGGGTGTTAAAGCTCCTCTATTCCTAAACTGTGCACCACCTCTCCTCCTCCTCCTCCACCTCTTCAGTAAATAAACAGCCCTCTACAGTGCCACTGTCTCAAGCTGGGGCTACGTGATGTGCCCTCGGTTTTTTATGAGTATCTAACAAGACATGAATAATACACAAGCACAAACAACACACACACCAGCATGTCAGTTTCAGAGTCATCTGCACTGCAAACTATGTCATGCAGAGGCAGCGGGACTCTCTCTGCCAGAGGGAATCAATTAACCTTATCCTGCATGTAGAAAGGGTGGCTACATGCATATTTGTATGCAAAGAGGCTGCAAAGTCTAGACAATAAAAAAAGGTTATAAAAGAACAGTGCATAAAGAAAGGGATAAATTTACTTTAGGTAAATCTTTGCTGCAAGGTGAGATTATACACCTCCTGTGGACGGTAATGTGGAACATGCAGACAGCACTCTAAGCAGAGCTGACCTCTCCATTCATCCCCCATCAATAACAGCTTTTCAGCATCATTAGCTTGTAAATCACAGAAGTAATCAATGCAAAAAAAGAACAGAAAAAAACCCCACTCCTGCTCATAACCGGAGGTCATAGCCACTCTCCAAAGCTTGAAATGAACCAACAATTCAATGAGGAGATTTTTGATTCCCGATTGTGAGATGGTGACAGATTGCTAAGAGATTGGAGACGTTCGGAAACAGCAGAGACAAAAAAAAGAGAACAACTAAAGCTGGGCAGTTTTTCCAGGTAAATTCGCATCCAGTTGTACCTTTACAATGTATGAGTTGCTTAGCTTAAGAACAGAAACCTTGTCCAATGCAACGAGCCACCTTCACACAAGACGGAGCGGCTACTCAAAGAAGAGCGCAGACAAAACGTTCACCACAGTAACGCCAAGAATGGTATGTTGTAAATCTGTTGGAGCAGAAAGAGAAAAGACTCGGGGAAAATGAGCAGGAATGTGCACATGGTGGCTACTTCCACACTCAAGCAACTTATTCTTGTCTTTATTGTCTCTAGAGGAAAACTATAAAACCACAAAATCTAAAAAGCGAAGCTATATTAGCTATACCCTAATTTCCCCACTTTCACATACAAAGTAGAGTAGAGAGGTAAAGTTCAGATGCTGTGCCCATTACATTACCATAGTGACATGGGGCCGGAGCTGGGAAATGGGGTGACAGGTCAGAGGGAATGCCCTACTGTGTATGCATGCATATACAACATCCTGACAAAAAGACACACACTCTCTTTCTCTCCCTCCAAGGGCGCCAGAAGTACCCCTCAGTGTAAACCCCATTGTCCTACAAAAGCGAGCAACTCCTCCCCTCTGAGCCAGTGTAAATTGAGATGGGGTTTACATTAATGAGTTTTGAAGTTGGGGGGGCACCAAAGTGTGGGGGAAGGCTCCTCGAGATATGGGTAGCCTATATCACCACAAAATTAAGTTGGGATAATATAGAAATGGCTGTTTGGATTTCTGGGTGAACTGGTTTATATTAGTACTCAATTTTCTTTCCTGCGGGGAGGAAGGCGGAGGTTAGAAAACTAACATTTCGATGTTAATTCTTGCACTTGCCCAACAATATGATTTTTTCCTGAGCTTTGAAAATGTAACATAAAAAAGGTGGATTCTTTTCAAGCCCCCGCTGCTTGGACTTCTTCACCTGTGACTGATTGACTCACTAAATACTACCACATGCCTCAGAGAATGACACAGATAAAAATGTATTCTAAACACCTAGATAATAAAATTCAAGCCCAGTTACCATGGTTATTGTGAGTATCTGGAATGCAAATCAAGGACATTTTCCTCACTTATCTGCTCCCTCTGACATGTCTGTGTTTCCCAAACAATGCTTTGCTGGAATGAAACAGATTATCCCTCTGCGAGTCCTCTGAGAAAAAAAAAAAAAAAAAAAATTCCATCAAGGTCACTGGAGCCAAGTGCTGCCTCTGATGGATATCTTGTACAACGAAGGGGAAGTCTTGACTGTGATGACTCAATGAGCCTTTATGAGCCCTGGCGCATTTGCACTGGAGTGCCTCACCAAGGTGAGGGCACAGAAAGTCTTGAGTTTGAGGTTGCTTCCCCCCTTGTTTTTATAGCTGGTTCAATAGCTATGCTGCATTGGCTCCCTGTAACGCAGGGATCTGATCAATACTGGGTCTCGAGGGCAGCGGAGCAGGCAGCGAAAGGACTTGACAGCGAATGTGCTCCATAGGCTGTAATGTTTGATCAGGGGAGCGCTGTGGCTAACGCTGTGCAACCATCTCGGCGATGTTTTTCGTCCAACTGAGCGCATGCATTCATTACACCTGCATACGACTCACACACTGAAACAGTAAGTCAATCACTTGGTTAGCAGGTCAACCAAAAGATAAATCGGCAATACTTCCAATCAATTAATCATTCGTTTATCAAGTGCACACATTCAGTGGTTTCCGCTTCTGAAATGTGAGGGTTACGTCACTGCTAAGTGAACAGTTTGGGGTTTTGAACTGTTAGTTGGCTGTGTGAACCTGTGGTAGCCATTTTCCACTATTTTCTGACTGTTTTATAGTGTAAACAAGATGATGAATAATCAAAAACATAATCACTAGATTAACTGCTGATGAAAATATTTATTGGTTGCAGCCCTACACACAGGTCAGTGACCATCTGTGTAAGACACTGTACCAGCAGAGGAGCCCCATGTCCCAATAACCTAACTACAGTGTGCAGACAGACAGGAGGATTACTTCAGCGGTCGTGAACTCCTCTAAGCTATGTAGAGTATGTGGTGTGTATGTACAGGCAATCATTCTGAGCAAATTAATTAAGGCCAGCAAAGCCCCATCATACCAGATGAATTACGGGATGCCTGTGTAGAAATGTACGGATGATTTGGCAAAGAATACAACAGCTAATCTGCTAACACTCAAACACAACAGAAACTTATCGTTTCTGGCTAAACATGAGAGCATGTTGCTTTACTGTGTAGTGCCGCTAGCTTTCTGTGCGCACAGACACACGCGCCTGAGGACACAGCCGTATTGTTGTGCATGCGCGTGCAAACACACACACACACACACACACACACACACACACACACACACAGACAGTATGAGACCATTAATCATAAGCAACCCAGTTCTGCTTCTCACCTCACACTCCTCTCATGCGATTCTGGCCCAAGGTTAACTTTGCAGTCTCTGTATTTACCCCAGTGTGGTGCAGAGGTTGCATGCCATGGAGATTAAATCAAAAGGACAGAGGGCTGGCGGGGTAATGAGTGCATTGTTGAAATCTTTGGGTATACACACATACACATACCCTCTAGCAAGACCAAACCTGTAAGAATCCAACTTCTAAATCTGTCAAAATGCAAAAATCTAATCCATTTATAATGGAAATGAAATCAGCCGAGTTACCTGACACTAATTATGTCCTAACACAGTCACACACCAGAGCTGCACAGTTAGTGAAGCTGCTCAACTCTAAAAAAGGAGCCTGTCTTCCGTGTTTATTCAAATTAATTCAGCATGTCTGGATTGTGTAAAACCACCTTACTGTTTTTGTGATGCAACATGATTCCTGCACTTTTTTTATAAATGTTAGTCATGACAGAGTCTGACTAGAGTGCTTACATGCGCCATTAATCTAGCCTCCTGTTCCAACTTCTAGGGGATCCAGATTGTCTTACCTAGATAGAGAGATGCATTTTCTTTCTTCACATTGTCATCCAGGTAGGTGGGGCCCAGGGTGTAGATTGGCGTGGAACCCATGCCCACAAGTATCTGGGCACAGATGAACAGAGTCACATACAGGTTGTGCTCATTTCCCTCCTGGTCGCGTGGGCATGATGCCACATCGTGCAATTCACGCCCGCTGTTGTTGCCACTCTGACAGAGACCTTCGTGGCCCGCTGAGGAGTTCATCTCCTGGATCTGGTAGGGTGGCGAGATGAAGTGGGGCAGGGAAAACAATGCTGCCCCAACAGCAATGACCACACCACCCACAGCCAGCCAGCGTGGCCTTTGACCCCTGCCTCCAAAGTAGGAGATGAAAACCACCACCAGCAAGCTGCCAATGTCGAAGCAGCTGACCAGCAGGCCGGACTCAGAGCTGCGCAGACTGTAACGCTTCTCAATGGTGGTGATGACACTGCTCAGGTAGCCCGAAACCATCAGGGACTGGATGAAGGTCAGGTAGCACATGCAGAACAGGAAGCAGCGGGAGTCACTGAGGATGACCCGCACATACTTCCTGGCTGGGATGCGGATAAGGCGTGTTAGAGAGAAACCAAGTTTTTTGCCCCCGGAGGCGACAGCCCTGTGGCCCTCCACAGGTAAAGAGCTGCTGAGCCCCACCATGCTGGAGAAAGAGGGGGAGAAATCTGTCCTGGAGGAGGGGGACTCCGCCTGGCTGGAGTCTGGGGTTTTTGACTGTAGCTCGCTGCTCTCCCGCACGGCCACACAGGTAATGGTTGTGTTGACCAGCCGAGGCTCTGCCGCCATGCGATCCGGCTGACACGGTCCATTCAGGATGGGTAAGCTTTTGGACTTGAAGCAGTTTTCTGGGTCCGTGTACTGATCCTGGAGCTCGTGGATCTCCAGAGACAGGTCGCTCCCTGTTTCTTCATTGTCCGATGAAGTCATGGCGCAGCTGGAGATGCAGCTTCCGTTTGCAGACTCCTGGCTGTGCTGACAAGTCAGTCAGTATCTAATGCCACATGAGGACAGAGCTGGGAGCTGGAGAAAAGACTCTGCCCTGCCAGTTGCACTGGGGCGGACTGAACCCCTCCAGTTATGAGTATATTTTATTCCATCCTCTCAAAACACAACATTAGTGCCAAAATATTCTTACAAGCCACTGCACAATAGTGGTAGGGGTATCTTGACTGAATACAGAATAACATCACCTTCCTTAGCTTGACACTTTAGAATATTGTCTAAGGAGTGATACATTAAATAGCTTATAAGATTCTTAAATAAAAAAAAAAACAACAAAAAAACATGAAACCAATAATAAAAAGGTGCTGTCTTTGCAGTGTTCCCCTAATTTAGGACCTCAAGTTGATGTTGATTTTATGGCTCTTTGTTAGATAGCAACCTTGATTCATAAGGGTTTTTTGTTTCCTTTGTCCCATAGCTGTGCAGCATCCTAGGGGGAAAAAAACACAACAGAAAATTAAAACATTAGCAAATATCAAAAATAGTTGCTGCTTCCAAAGTGGACACGTTTATATAGCTGGAAAATCTAACCCTTTCGACTTATAGCATTCTGGTAGTATGTCCACCCTGGACTGAACTGCTCACCTGATATCGCTGAATTACTAAACACAGTGAAATATCCCACCAAAAGTAACACACGAAACAGTCGCATAGCTGTCAAACTGTCGCAGCGGGTAAGGCTAAATTACACCCAGCTATCCTTTGTCAAAACGAGGAATATACCTAGAGAACAAAAGACCACGCTGTCCAGCAAACGTCTCAGGCATGACTTTGAAAAGAAATAAAAACCCAGATTCAACGCGAGACATTTCTGAAATTAAGCAACAAGCCTCGTCCTCGACTGTAACGGCGACAGATATTACTTGACATAACTTCCAGGAAAGGCTCAAGGTAGAGAAGGCTGTAACACTCACACAGGACAGCGGGAGGTAGCCTGTTGTTCTCCACGGAGCGGCCACTGAGTGAATGAAATCTGTTTGGATGGCTGCTGCTGCTGCTGCTGCTGCTGGTGGGCAAAATTTTAGCTTCAATGACTGTCGGGAAATGGTATAATTCGGAGTTCGGAGCAAAATTAGAGCGAGGAAAAACCCTGAATGTGTCTTATTTTGATCACATCAGCTCAAAAGATTATAGGGAAAAAAGACTGAGAGTGGTATCTGAGATGAAAAGACAACATCGTTTTGTAGATAAGTTTATTCAGCAATGATATTACAGATGAAGACTACCAATAGGCTACAGTATTAATGTGATTGTTAAATGTAAAAACCCTCACCAAGAAACATATGTGGGCTATTGTTTCTTCTTTGTCTGTATCTGCAGCAAATATACGACTGTCTTATTTACAACTTTCATAGATAAATATAAATAGATAAAACCTAACGAGGAGAAGGCAACCTGAACGCGTCAAATCGTGGGGGCGAACTGTTTTCCTCGTTAGCCACACTGGGACTTGTAGTTTCTTTCCTAAGTCTAACGTGCATTCAGCTCTGTATCTGCTTGCATGTAAAACTGGGGTGAGTAACATCAGCTGTCTAAGACATAAACCATGCCGAATACTACTGGAAATGCAAATAGATTCACATTTTCATTCAGTTAGTTTCAATTACACTAACTGTAGGACGTCATAGACCAGCATGCTTGTCGGCACATATGGTGGCTTGTTTAGTACACCACGTGATCTGGACAGCTGGGACCCTTGCTGACCTAGCAGTGGTTGACTGGTCACAGGCTCATATGTACAATGGGCTCTGTGCCTGGCAGTCTATTAGATGCAATAAATTGTAAACAAATATGTCTACTGACGGCAGTTTATTTCTGCAGAGAACATAACCACTCAGTCATTGATGAAAAGTACTTCAACCCATACAATGAAGACAGCACTGAAATAACTTCCATTTGACTTGTTTTTTTCTTTCTGAAAGGTAGATTTTCACTGAATGGAGATTAAATGAAAACATCTGGGCTGACAGAGAATAAGATGTACTTTTTTGTAGAGAGAGCTGACTCCCTCCTTGCTGTCAAAGGGACGGATGACTTTCCCCCAAGGTCATTAATTCATTTCCTGGACTAGGTAGGCTGGGTGATCAATCCCCTGCCTCCTCCTCCGCGCCTCATTCTGATGCTCTCTGATTCCCCTTTGGAGGAGCAGCATTTGAGCGAAGCCTGAATGTCAAATCTCTGCTTCACTACCCAAAATTGGTAGGTGTGGTGGAAGCAAATGTCTAAAGTTTAGTCTAATATTTTTGTCTCCTGACATTAAAAACACTTTTTTTTAGCACTCTGTCTCTGACTATCAGCACGCAGCAAGCTAATCAATACCACAAACCAGCATGAATTCACAACAGCAGAAAGGGTGAGAGGGATTATTTAGAAGATAGTGGCACTGCATTATTGTGGCAGCTCTATTGTAGCACCTTTGCAAGTATAGCTACAGTAAATCTATTATAACCTTTACCTACAGTATACTGCTAATGCAACATATATGTTGTAATTGCTATTTAAACCCCCTATTAAAGATTTCACAGTATTTAAAGTATTTTTATTCATAGAACAGCTCTGCAAATCACAATGATCCAAATGATTTGTTCTTATTGGTAAGAGCATGTTATTACAACCAAAGTCATTTATGAGTTATCACTTAGCATAAAAGGCAAAAAGCAACACATATATAGTGCAGTTTTTCTTGGGTCTTTCTCATTTTTTGGGCGGGCTATTTACTGGCTGACAACAGACACTTCAGTGAGTGAAGTATAGCTTATTTTGTACAGATCTCCTTTTCATAACTTAATTTGTGCGCTTCATCCATATTATATTTAAGGAATTCTTGATGCAAAGGTGTGGGTTTGCACCAGGTCACCAAATGGAAAGCGGAGTGGATAGTGATTCAGAGACCTGTCTTTCAAGTCCAACACAATACTGTAATACTCTAATTATTTGTGATCCAAAAGGAGAAGTAGAAGAAATAATACACAATATATTCATTTTGCCAGACAAATGCCATTGATTTAGAGAAGATAGAGATGTTACACTGTTAGTCCAGGGGCATTTACTTAACCATGACCTTTCTTAAAACAGATAGAGTGTGACTAGAGATTTTGATGACAGCAGCAGCCTTTTCCATAGAATAATATGTCTGTGCCTGTCTGTGAAGAATTTGGCTTTAATGCCCCGCAGCAGCAGAGGAACAGAGAGTGTCTGTTTTTTGGTGCAGAAAAATAAACAGAAAACTTCCCATGTGAACGAATGAACCAGTACAATAGAGACTGAACAAGCATGCCTGCATTGAAAAAAAGGGTGGGTGGGTGAGTGGGGTGTCGCTACAAACCTTTCCTTTATATATAAATATTTCCCACAATCATTGCCAGCAGTTATTGCTGTATTGCATTTCTCATATACTCAGCAATAAAATGCACAGCCTCTTATTAGGACAATGGTAAAAACTGTTTATCGCTCACAGGGGGTCAGAAATCAAAACCTACTTAAAATATCGATATTTGTAGGCAATGTTCAGACCAGTGTCGAGCAGAAATGGATTATTCCCAGTTAAACTTGCTCTGCAGATGGTGATTAGAGTCAAGAGAGAATGATTACTCAAATAGATATAATGTGATAAAGTATTGAGAAAATCAATTAAACCTTAAACTCTGCAAGTTATGTATTTATAGTTGTTGGAGCAACTTACTGATTTCAAAACTGAGTGCCGCTTCAACAAAGGAGAGAAGAACAACACCACCCTCTGGTGCATCATCTGGTTCAATGAGGCCTGGCGCTACAGACTGCTTGTGTTTCTGAACATGTCCAGTAGATGGTGCTATGTACTCAAGATTGTTAGCGTGAGCAGCAGAGACCTGGGCTGCTTGTTACCGTACAGCATGCAGGTTGGTTAGTAAGACTGCATCTAAGGATGTACATAATTAATTTATTCCAAGGAAATGCAAAATGCATTTATTGATGTAAATTATTTTATTTTACCGTTTATATTTATTTGTTAAAGCAGCATCAACTGACTTCACATATAAAGATCCCTTTATTAACCGTCATGACTCAGCCCACACTAACTGTTGTATATTGTCTTTTGTGGGTCTGGAGAGAGCCGTCTTAGAAACTAACCCTAATGATCCCCATCAGGTAACCTCAGACTGGACTTCAACTTTTTAACTGAAACCTGTGTTACAAACTGGGGGAAAGGAGTTCGAAGGATGTGAGTTTACCAGGGAGGCACAATCTAAGGAGATCGAGTTGCATTATGGAAATTGAAGGATCCAGGGTTTTGTTTAGTTTTTAGAGCTTGTATCATACTAGGAACTAAAAGTTAAGGTACAGCTGCCTCTGCTGTCTCACTTTTGACCATTCTTTAATGTTAAATTTTAAATAATAAAATAATAAATCACTGGAGTACCCCTTATAAAAAGCTTGCCAGCTGCTACCAAAGTAGAAAAGGCATACAAGTTAATCTAGCTGTAAACAAAACCTGTCTAAAGACATTTCTTTTCATTTTAGTACTATATATTATTTAACATTATCTATGCCTTTGATGGGCATTCTGTTGTTGTTTTGTCTTCCTTTCCCAGCTACACACATTAGATTAGTCTTAACGATGTCTGGTCAAAGTGCTTGTTACAAAGATATTGTGCCAGTGAGATCTCCTCCTGTCAGTTTATGAGTGATGACATCATCATCATCATCATGATCTCCCGCCTGGTCCGACACTTCTCTCGGCCTTGGGGCCGGTCTCCCCCTTGCTCCATCCCACACGCTTCCTGTTAACCATCCCAACTTTATTGACGTTACAGGAATCACTAATGAAACACCGTCTGTTTCTCAGCTAACTGTGTCTGCCTGCAAAGCTATTAAAGGGAATCACACACATACATACATAGACCTACATGTTCATAAATATACCCCCCACCCCCCACCCCCCACACACACACAATTCACTTTTCACAGCAGCATTTTCCTGTATGTAGCCTTGGCTATCGGATCCACCAAGCAACGTACGGGAAAATGAAGCGATGACAGACATTGAGGTGTGTGCATCTGTAACTGGAAGTCAGGGGTGTTGCTAGGAAATCCAGGACTCCAGGACACCTGCCTCATAAACAAGCATGTTTTATCCCAAATATTTAGTGAGCTTTTCATTTCAGGGCTTCTTGACTCTTTGCTATGAAGAGCTGAAGTAAACTGTCCAATCGTCTCAGACTTTTGCACGGTTTCATCAGCTAATGGCTTTACAGCAGCACTCAAAGATATAGGAGGATTCTATGCCTGAACTATAACCCTCTGTGGTACTGTCTTACCACATTCTGCCTACCGGAAAGGCATCCTTTTAAATCGGCTGTTCTCTCTGTGCTGCTTTTCAAAGGTCAACATTCTTGTGCTGTGGACAAACTCCCAGGTCTGTAGCCAGGACTACTCCCCAAATGAGTTTATCCATACAGAAGGGTCTTGCAACTTGAAATTTTGCAACCCGGAGAGTGACTGATCCATATGAATAAGGCAAGCCGATCAGGACAGAAGGGTGGTGTAGTAATTGTGTTAAAAAGTGCAAGGGCCCCAAAATAAAGACCCCCAGTATATGCCTGTGGAGGCCCCCTTACTGTGCAGAGCAATCCCAGCAGATTGGGCCCCATGCTTATGCAAAAGTCCTCACCCCCCTTCACTCCACATCACCCTCAACCCTGCCATCACCTCCAAAAGCACTGGTAGGCCAGGTCACCCAGTGAGTGGGCCTTCTGT